ACCATCAAGGCAGCCTGAGCCTCGATGAATACAGGGAAAAATGGGTACGCGAATTCATTTCTTTATTCTAACACTCAATTCTGCATAATTTCTAATCATTTTGCATTTTTGCCGCAGTCGTCGTCACATGATGGCTAGCCTTGCTCCCAGTTCAAGGCATGGGTTCTATCCAAAAAGAGCAAGGCGACGGCAAACATCGACTTCAACCCGGAGGACCCGCCCGAGGCGTACAGCGATCCCAGCATCCATAGCCGCGTCAGTGAGTACACAGAGATGGCAAGGCAGGTTCATGGGCCACAGTTCGATCCGAGCACCCATGATCTTGATGGAGAAATCGTGATGAGGGTGGGAGGAGGCAAGAAGCATGGCTGGTACTGGATTGGCGACAGTACAATTGACACGGCCTCTACGCCCACTCTCTCCTAGATCCGAGCAAGAAGCACGAGCGCGAGCCCGGCGATACGCCCTCGGCCAACCGCTACACAGTACCAGATGGAGGCTCTCCAGGTTATTTCTTATTTATTCATCGTTCGTTGATTGTTACGTACTTTAGCTTTGCATTGTAACATTGAGATGAAATGTTATAGGCCTGGGTGGAAGCAGAAATAAAGCAACGGGAGGAGATGGCGGCGAGGATGGCGGAGATGGAGGCGAAGATGGCGGCCGAGCGGCAGAACATGGAGGAAGAACAACGGCGGACGATGCAGAGTATAGAGGAAGAAAATCGGTTGAGGATGGACCAAATGTTCCAATACACGTAGAATTTTGCATGGAGTATGGGTCAAGCTTTGCCACCACCACCTGTGCTATTCCCTCCACCTTAGCCACCCACAACTACTCCTGTGAGTCACTTGACACCTTATACTGGATCAGTTTTTACCATATGCAGTGATGCCAAAATGTTAGTTAAGTATAATCAGACAAGAATTTTGGGGTACCAAAATGTAAACCGAGCCAATTAAGTATAACTAAATTCCCTAGAATCACATCTGCAAAAGGTTGCAGTTTAGTATGGCACCACTTGGAAAAATAAAAATTGTAAGAAACGTATAGGAGATAATCAACTTTTAGCCACTACTAGGAATGTTTAAAGGCTGCCTTCAGCTTGTGCCTATGTACTGTTATCGTTTAGGGGGCAAGCACCTGGCTACGAGATGACAACCTTGTCCAGCCACTGATCTTGCCTTGTGTATTCCTTGTTTAATTGAAAATAATGGCAAAAGGTAGTTGCATTCTGTGTGAAGTCATGTTCCTGTTGCCCATGTGTTTCCTGTTCCAGAACTCATGTTCTGTGCCTTGCGTGCAATAATGTATTTATACTATACCACAAGTGTATGTAAACTACTATCTGAGGCGCTGAGCGTTGGCCCTCTTTTGTTTCTGCTGGTTCATCACCTGTATGCATTTACTTAAGGTCGAAACAACTACATGTGTCAAATGCAAGACAGCTATATATTGCTGCTACTTACGCTCCAGTCATGTTCTTTTTCCCTTTGCATATGTCTATTTACCTTTTATTACTCTGTTAGATTGATTGATCAGCTACTGCTAGGCTTTAGCAATGCATGAAAAGACTACAAGATGAGTTTTAGGCCGTCATAAGTGTGACAAAATATTTGCTACTTACTTAAATCTTATTAGTTGCACTTTTATCATGTGGTTTCAGCCTTCCAGCTGGAAAATTATTCACCGTCACCTGCATCATATAGTATGAAGAATCGATTATGCAAAGGCAAAACATCACATATCATCATGCTGTCTCTTTTTTTACTTATTGGCTCTCAGTGCGAAATGGTGCATGTCAATTTGGAAACTTGTGAACTTCCATAGTAGTTTAGATTTTGTAGAATCTTTTGTTTTTTTGCAATGTAACAAAAATGATCAACATGTATCACGTGAATAATGAATTAAGTGCAAGCTCCATGTGTCAAGGAACCTTAGATATTAAGTGCATCACATATAAATATCAATCTTGTCTCACACATTCTTCTCTTTTGTGCAGAATTAATCGTCGACATCAAATAATCAGTCTCAAGATCCGGATTTGTCGCAGTGGTACCAAGGGCCTCCGCAGTGATTGCATTTGCCTTTGTGGCTTATTGTGACTTAGTTGTGACTTGTGATGATGGTTTACTGTGAATTATGATGATGGTTTGTAAATTGTGATGATGGTTTATTATGCCTGTGAAATACAATTATGTCTATGACATATAATTATGCTTGTGACCTTTATTGTGAATTGTGATGGTTTATTGTGAATTGAGAGGGGTCCATTATACGGGACAGATTAGTAAAAAAGGGGTATTGGTCGCTTTGCCGAGTGTAACACTTGGCAAAGAGACGCTTTACCGAGTGTCGATCCAAAACACTCAGCGAAGAGACCAATTTCTGTTATTCTGGAAACCTTTTTTGCCGAGTGTTTTGTCTTTGCCGAGTGTATCCAAATGGATACTCGGCAAAGCGACCATAAAAATCTGCCTCCAGGGCAAATCAAAGACCGGCGATGATGCCTCGTCGTCATCGTCGGTGAACTCTAGCGCAGCAAGTCGCCAGGTCCGACTCCACGGGACCACGATAGGGGGAGGGGGAACAGTGCCGATGGTTTGGGCAATATAATTCGAGAAATTGCGAAATACACACGGCCGACCAGCCAGCGGCAGGGAAGCAGCCGGGGCCCCCGAAGTTGTAGGAGCACTTGAATTTAGCAGAGTATAATGGCGCAAGGATCGAGGAGCAGAAGGGCAGTTTCCGGAATCATGACCAAGGAGGAGGCATCTACGGCAGCGCAAGGGGCCGTAACAAAGGGGCCGTTCATGCGCCGGCGCCAGACATCTCGGGCATAAGCGCAATAAAGCCTTGGCATTAGAATGCAGCAACAGTTTTTCAGGAACTAGGCCAAAAAATGCGGGCCGAGCAGAAATTTGAAACTCGAGAATTAAAGGGCTTTGATTTTGCCCGGTCAGACTTAGTAAAGCTAGGAGAATTATGCGTATTAACGGTAGTATCAAAATTAATAGGAGACAAAACTGGCCGCCGTCCATGAATGCTGTTTTGAAAGCTAACTGACAATGGCCGGCGGCGATCACCGGAGGACGATGGCCGGCTGCGATCACCAGAGATTGGAACAGCATTGGCACCAGAAAGACGTACCGGATGAGAAGGACGAAGAGCCTGACGAGCCTGCTATGTTTGGCCATTGCGCTTAACAACTTCAACCCATTCAGCGGATTGTTCAACTTCCCAATTACTATACTCCAACTTGTAATTAGGCCCTCCATCGTGCCAGAGGTGGAAGAAGACTCTGAATTCCAAACATTCAAAAGATTTGAGATTGAAAACATGGAAGCCTACCGGTTTCGAGGAGACTGAAAATCTGAAGACCCGGTCGGCCAGCTGAACAACACGATAGGCTTAAGGAGAACCACCAAGCACAGACTGGAGAAGGATTCCCACTGTGGACGGCGTGAGACGGAACTTGCATCTGCCCACAACCGACGCAGAATTTCCGCCTCCACCACCCGGCCAGGCCGGTGGTTCAAGACGGGGAGCTCCATGGAAGGCAGCTCTACGGGGAGACGCCATGGATCAGCACCATCTTGGGAGTCCCAGAAATTGTTCCTCGAGGATCTCACTTGCTCTCACCGAGCGATACGTTCCTGCGTGCATGCGTCCCTCTCCAGTTCACTCACAGTAGGGTGCAAGATATGTGCGCCTTCTTTGATGATGGTGGGAGGATTTCCTTTACAAATGACTCAAGGTTGAGTGACGAAACAAGAAGAGAGATCATTAACGACAAGGCTTCGCGTCCTGGAAACAAGTTGTATCACCTTTGCTTGCTTTTGACTTTGCTTGACAGCAAAATGTGTCAGGTGGCTTCGTCTTTCGGTTGACAGCGAAGTGGACCATGTGTTTTCGTCCTTTACTTCTGGTCTTTGTACTCAAGCGAAGTGGTTCGACTGTTTTCGCTTTCTCCTTTTATTTCTCCAGACGAAGATACTCCTAATGGCGACCAATGACAAAGAAAACATTAGTTTGATACGAAGCGTCGGGGACTGCGTTTGTCTGACGTCAATCCCAACAAGAAGCTCAATGAGGAGACATGTCACTGGTTTTGAATAATGGCTAAAATAAGATGGTGATTTTAATTTAAGCTGCTGTTGGAAGGGTGTTTTTTCTTAAACATCCAAAATCAATTTTTGGCTACGATTTTTTTTGGTACTCTTGAAGATGCTGGATCATAACAAAAAGGATGGAGGAAAGAAAGCGTTCGGGTGATATTGCGTTGACTCATCCAGCAAACAATACACGTGAAGATGTTCTTGCCTCACCTGTACTACTAATCAGTACGTGAATTATTAATAAGCTAGGTTCAAAATTTATTACTTGGAGGGTTCAAAATTTATTACTAGAAATTTGTTTCAAATACATCATCAAGACGACCTCCTAAATTCTCACCCTCTTCATCATATATATTGTTCATCTGTTCTCAAATACTGTGTTTATATAGAATTTAGTAAGATATTAACATTTGTGTCACAACTATGTCTAATATTATTAGCAAACACTACGTCAAATAATATTTGTAGGGACGGCTGAACATCGTTTGTAGAGGCGGCTCAGCCAACCGTCCCTACCATACCGTCTCTACAGATCATGCATTTGTAGGGTGCGGTTCCCAGACCGCCCTTACAAATCGATTTGTAAGGGCGGTTGGTACTGTAGCCATCCCTACAAATCAATTTGTAGGGGCGACTACAGTACCAACCGCCCCTACGGTATATTCTTCGGCTAAAAAAAATTTAAATTTACAATTCAAATTCAACCATATATAATTCAAATCTGAATGTACATCAGACTGAAGTACATCAAGCGTGAACATTAACCGATGCTTACAAGCTTAGCAAGTCCTCAAAAGTCAAAACAGTCGAAATAACAACTCAATATCACACACATATGTATCTTCTCGACAACCAAGACTGTCCCAGGAAAGAATCAAGGTGATGACCAGTCTGGTGGTGGTGCTGGTGGCGCTGGTTTTCTCCAGGGCTGCAGCGCAGGGCAATGGCTGCTCGAGCGTGATGATGACCCTCTCCCCGTGCATGGACTTCATCTCGAGCAAGGCACCGGAACCAGGGATCTCCTGCTGCTCGGTGATCGCCGGAGTCGTCCAGACCGACCCCCGCTGCCTCTGCATGGTCCTGGATGGCACTGCGACGTCCTTTGGCATCTCCATCAACCAGCCGAGGGCGATGGAGCTCCCAGGAGTCTGCAAGGTCAAAGCACCACCAATCAGCCAGTGCGCAGGCATGTCAAGTCATCATGAAATGCAAATCATTATCAATTTCTATTTGCCCCTTTAAATTCTTAACTGATTTCAGGCGTCCCAGGAGCACCTGCACCAACACCTTCCAACGAGGCAGCAACAGCAGAGGGGGAAGAAGTTGAGGCAGCAGCAGATTCCCCATCAGGTGAAGTCATTGGTAAACCTATATGTTCTCATTTAGATGCTTCTGACCAAACAGGAGTTGGGCTATTCCAATACAAAACAGAAGACCAAATTTTACATCTGTAATGGTTAAAAGAAAAATATGGTTTGTTGTGCTGCAAAATAGATGACTTCTTGTGCTGCTTTAGGACTTCAGATGGCCATGCAAAGAATCCTTGTACCATGTACCACATGTCCGTACATGATAAAACAGAGGAGCGGAAGAGCTGGCCTATAAGTCCTTACATGTTATCTTGTTTTCTCTATCTATGCACCAAAAGTTTTCATAAGTGTTCAGTTTAGTTTTGGTTAATTGATGAAACCCTTAGTGCTAACTTAGTTTATCAAAGTGATTATGAGATAGGTAGCATTACTCCAAGTGATGAAGCAATGGCAAAGATCATGACTATGGTGATAGCATGGTGATGATAAAATGCTTAAACTTGGAAAAGAAGAAAGAGAAAAACAAAAGGCTCAAGGCAAAGGTATAAATTGTAGAAGTCATTTTATTTTAGTGATCGAGACACTTAGCGAGTGTGATCACATTTAGTATCGATAGCCGTGTCCAATCGTGCGGACGAGATTTGTGCAACACCTCTTAGCCGTCGAACCACCAAGTGTTGGTCGACACAAAGGGGACGTAGCGTGTTGGCAAGCACGTGAACCTCGGGAGAAAATTGATTGTCTCTTACTCTTTGGTATTCTCCTGGTGATTGATTTCATCTTCATCTTGTGATTGGTTCATCCCTCTATACGGCGGTATAATCACCCTACTCACTCATTTATATTCTTGCAAACTAGTTGTGACAAGCTTTTTAGTGTAATTAGAATTGAGAGCTTGATTTGTTGTTTAAGTTCATCTAGTGGAGCTCTTTAGTGTAGCAAGATTGAGAGCTCTTAGTGAGTAGTATCATAGTAAGTTGTGTGTCTAGTAATCATTGCAACTAGAATTATTGGATAGGTGGCTTGCAATCCTCGTAGAGCTAGAGCAAGTTTGCATTTCACTATTTGTCTTACTAATCAAATTGCTCTAGTTGAATTGTAGAATTTTAAATAGGCTATTCACCTCCCTCTAGCCATATTAGGACCTTTCAAGTGGTATCGGAGCCGTGGTCACCGTTTGATTAAAGGCTTAACAACCTCGGTGTCAAATTATGGCTCAAGTTGTGTTCAACCATGTGGGGGGCAAACCACCTTTCTTTGATGGCACATGCTATGATTATTGGAAGAGAAAGATGAGGATGTATCTTGGTTCAATCAATGATCAAGTATGGGAAGTGACCGAGAATGACTATGCTATCATTGATCCCGAGAATCCAACCAACCAAGATAATGCCAACAAGCAATGCAATACAATGGCTCTCAACACCATATACAATGCCATTGATTCTAAGGTGTTTGAGCAAATCAAGGATTGTGAAAGAGCTAATGAGGTGTGGAGGAGATTGGAGGAAACATATGAGGGCACACCGCGTAAAGAGTGCCAAGTTGTACATCCTCAAGGATAAGTTGACAAGCTTCAAGATGAAGGATGATGAGAGCATTCCGGAGATGTTCCATTGGTTGCAAGTAATTGTCAATGACTTGAAGGCTTTGGGAGAAAAGATCAAGGATTATGATGTCTCTCATCGGTTCTTAATGTGCCTACCTCCAAGGTTTCAGATGCTAAGATTGCTCATCATAAGAGGAGGATTGAAGGAGATTACCCCCAACCAAGTACTAGGTGATGTCATGACCCAAGAGACATACTGTGTGGAAAGGGAGGGGGATGACAAGGATGACAAGAAGGAAGAAGAAGACAAGAAGAAGAAGAGTATAGCATTCAAGGCTAGCTCATCATCATCCAAGAACAAGGGCAAGTCAAAGAAAGAATCAAGTGATGATGATGATCTTAGTGATATTGATGATGAAGCTATGGCCCTCTTTGTCTACAAGATGGGAAAATTTCCTGAAGAAGAAGGGTATGGTGCAAGAAAGAGAAGAGATCACACCAAAAGCAAAGAATATGTGAGAAGATGCTACAATTACAAGAGCCCCGATCACGTTGTAGCAAATTTCCCTACAATAGTGACAATGATGAGGATGAGAAGAAGAAGCTAAAAAAGGATAAGAAAGAAAAGAAGGAGAAGGAGAAGAAAATGACCTTCCAAAAGAAGAAAGGTGGAGGCTATGTGGTCACATGGGATAGTGATGGCTCTTCGGATAGTGATAGCTCTAGTGATGATGACAATAAATCTATCAAGAGAGTACTAGCAAGCATCGCCATGAACGATAAGCTCTCCATCTTCGACACTCCATCGACATGCCTCATGGCAAAGCCTACCAAGGTAAAATATGATGTGAGTGATGATGATGAATGTGAAAGTGATACTTGTAGGAATGATGATAATGATGATGATGAGGATGAGGAGTACACCAAGGAGGAACTCTTGGACATGTGTGAGCAAGTGCACGCTTGCAATGAGATGAAGAGAAAAGAGTGCAAAGAATTACGCAAGAAGGTAAAATTTCTTGAGCAATCCTTTGATGAGCTCAATGCCACTCATGAGAGGCTAATGGAAGCCCATGAGAAGCTTGGTAAAGCTCACTCTAAGCTTGAAAAGGCTCACTCCTCTCTCATTGAGCAAGTCCAAGTGGAAGAAGCCAAGGAGGAGTAAGTAATCGTGTCATGTGATGTGGGACTAACATGTGATCTTATTGATGAATCTTTTCATGAGCCCATTTTAGTTACTCCTACTAACACTTCTTGTAGCGTTACTACTTCCACTTCACCCTTGAGTGATGGTCTCACTTGTGATACCTCACTAATGGTGGAAAATGAGACCCTCAAGAAGGAGGTGAATGAGCTCACTCGTTCCTTAGGCAATGCCTATGGTGGAGACGCCCGCTTGCTAAAGTGCTTGGGTAGCCAAATGTTTTCTCTCAATAAAGAGGGATTAGGCTATACCCCCAAGAAGGGCAAGGTGGCCTTTGTCACTCCCAAAGCTAGCTTTGTGAAGGGCAATGGTCGGTTTTGCAATAGATGCAAGCAAGTTGGGCATATAGAGTAATATTGCAAGATTAACAAGAACAAGCTACCAAATGTATCCTCAATTAAATTTGATTCTTGTTACATGCTTTTTAAGGGTGCCAATGGTGTGAAGGCTAAGTTCATTGGTACACCAATTGTGGGCCCAAAGAAGAAGGCCATTTGGGTACCAAAGACCTTGGTAACTAACCTACAAGGACCCAAGCAAGTTTGGGTACTTAAAAAGAATTGATCTTCTTTTGTAGGTCAATTATAAAGCCAGAGGAAGACATTGAGTGCTTGATAGTGGGTGCACACAACACATGACCGGTGATCCAAGAATGTTCAATTCAATCAATAAAAACAAGAGCAATGGAATTGATAGTATCATATTTGGTGATAATGGCAAAGGCAAGGTCAAAGGTCTTGGTAAGATTGCAATATCCAATGACTTGAGCATTTCCAATGTGCTACTAGTAGAGAGCTTGAACTTCAACCTATTGTCGGTAGCTCAATTATGTGATCTTGGTTTCAAGTGCATATTTGGTGTTGATGATGTAGAGATTATAAGTGTAGATCGCTCTAACTTGATATTCAAAGGATTTAGATATGAGAATCTATACTTGGTTGATTTCAATGCTAGAGAAGCTCAATTATCAACATGTTTGATCACTAAGTCTAGCATGGGTTGGTTATGGCATAGAAGGCTTGGTCATGTTGTAATGAAACAATTGAACAAGTTGATCAAGCATGATTTAGTTAGAGGCTTGAAAGATGTCACATTTGAAAAGGATAAGCTATGTAGTGCATGTCAAGCCAGAAAATAAGTTGGTAACACACATTCTAGAAAGAGCATGATGAGCACATCTAAGGCATTTGAGTTGATACACGTGGACTTGTTTGGACCAACCACATATACTAGCATTGGTGGAAACAAATATGGATTTGTGATTGTGGATGATTTCACTAGATATACTTGGGTGTTCTTTCTCGTTGATAAGAGTGATGTGTTTGCAACATTCAAATCATTTGTCAAGGGCATTCACAATGAGTTTGAAACAACTATCAAGAAAGTGAGAAGTGATAATGGAAGTGAGTTCAAGAACACAAGAATTGATGAGTTGTGTGATGAATTTAGAATAAGACATCAATTCTCGGCCAAGTACACTCCACAATCAAATGGCCTAGTTGAAAGAAAGAATAGAACTTTGATTGATATGGTAAGATCAATGTTGAGTGAGTACAATGTGAGTCATTCATTTTGGGCCGAAGTAATCAACACGGCTTGCTATTATAGCAACCGACTCTATTGTCACCCCATGATGGAGAAGACACCTTATGAGCTATTGAATTGAAGAAAGCCCAACATAGCATATTTTTGGTTTTTTGGTTGCAAATGCTACATATTGAAGAAAGGAACTAGATTGAGCAAGTTTGAAAAGAAATGTGATGAAGGTTTCTTGCTTGGTTACTCCACTACTAGCAAGGCTTATAGAGTTTGGAACTTGGTTAGTGGTACTCTTAAGGAGGTTCATGACGTGGAATTTGATAAAACAAATGGTTCCCAAGAGGAAGATGAGAATCTAGATGATGTAAAATGCACTCAATTGGTCAATGCAATGAAGAACATGGACATTGGTGATATAAGGCATAGAGAGGTGATTGATGTTGAAGATGACAAGAATCAAGTGCTCTCTAACTCAAATGTGCAAGCTAGTGCTTCTCATGATCAAGTTCAAGCAAGTACTAGTAATGGCCATGTGCAAGATCAACAACAAGTGGCTAGTTCATCATCTCAACCAAGTGATCAATCAAATACAAGCAATCAAGTGCAAGTGCTTCAACCAACCAATGTTGCAAGAGATCATCCATTGGACACTATCATTGGTGATATTTCAAGAGGTGTGCAAACTAGATCAAGATTGGCTTTATTTTGTGAGCATTTCTCTTTTGTGTCATCCATTGAACCTAAGAAGATAGATGAAGCTTTGAAGGATGTTGATTGGGTCAAT